AGTAACTTCACAAAATGATATAGGGTAAATTATTTACGGCAATGTGGCTAGGAAGTGACTAGCACGTGGAGACATGGTAAACAGAAAAGTTATATTGCGTTTTAGTTTTTACCACCCTATTATATTCTGTAGCAATGTACTTTAATCGATCTCTCTTGAATTCATTCACATTTAAATTATAAGTATTCTCTATGATACAATTTTCTGCTGTCATGATTTAAAATTTCTTTTTGGACAAATATTTTGCATGGGAACAGGGACTATATTTTTTGGTATCAGATTAACAAATGAGGCACAAATTTGACTTTAACTGACAAATCAGATGAATGAGAATTGCATTATGGGTTACTACGAATACTATAGGAATTTTACCATTGATAAATTCCTTTATTGTACTGTCGGTGAATACAATTGTCAAGTGGATTCCCTGGCCAACACACGTGATCCCGAGTATAGTTATGAAAAATGGTTTGTCCATTTAAATGCATACGAAAAGCTGCCCGTTTTTCTTACCCTTGAAGTGCTGGTGTTCTGAACTTGACACTAAATACGTTAACATTTTATCAAACATATTTTTTCTAGTTTACAGCAAATTATCTTTTATAGTTTCTAATGTTTGCATTTTGTTCATAAGAATTTTTTTTTTATTTTGCACTCCATTGACATAATCATAGAGTGACCTGAACCACGTGTTCGAAGTAACATGTAAACATTTATTTGGCGTAAACGTTTTCAATCAACAAGTTGTCCGTTGCTCGTGGTAAGATCCTTTGTGCGCATTAATAGCAATAGCCATGTAAGGCAGACAAAGGTTTGTCAGTGTTGATAATATTACACTTTTTTTGCCAGCGTATCGGTCGCTAGTGAGCTGTACTTTTTGCAGTAAACTATGTTAAGATATATTAATTGTTATTTACCCTCCCCCCTTTAGTCATCCATTTCTGCTGAAAATCACGAAAATCGTTCAGAAAGGTCTGGAAACACATTTTTCACAGAACATGTTTTCAAAAGAAACAGACTATAGCAATTTCCTGTTTACTGCCAATTTTATTTATAAAACCGGTTCTACCCTATATAACCTGTGAATAGGTAAACCTAAACCACGTGTCTTGAATTTAAATCACAATAATATTAGTAGGGGTAAACCATGGAACATAAACGTGTTCATGTCACAATGATATTAAGATTTATGCATGTACATGTAGTCATGTACACGTGTGTGTATATTCTGGGCATCCTAAATATAATTTAAAAAAATCTTTTTTCATAAATGAAAACATGTCAAGTATTCTCATCATAATGATAAAATAATTTGTTTAAGATATAATTGTTAATTAATTGTACCACATCAGGAATAATTTAAATCAAAACCCATGGAATATAACACAGTCCTCTTTAATATAGGTTCATGAGATGCGAATTTTTTAAAACCTTTTCAAACAGGTACATAAAGTCCTATAGATTTAGAATATGTCAATTGGTCTCTATACCTTTTTATCGTAACATATACTGTAATTATACTCTAAACCGACATATGGTATCACTACATTCATGTATATCTGTTAATTAACATCTCAGTAAATGTACATGCTAATGTGGCACCTGATTCCACCTCTCATGTTTCGAAGTTCCCTGTTTGCTCTGCTCTTAATTTGTATTTGTATTGTTGTATTGTATTGACTTTGAGATTGAATACGGTTCGTTATCTCCATATCCAACTCCCAACCAGGCATTTGAACCATGAGATAGACACTTGTTTTTTGGTATGCATACTCTACTAATTACATAAGCTCTTTAAAATGACTCTAAGGTCAACGACCTTGTGACCTTGACTGTGACCTGATTAAAATAGCATTTCCGTACATTCATCATAACTTTTAACCATAGGAGACAGAAACTGCATATTTGGTATACAAACTCCACAGATTAAGTTTTTTTCAAATGGCATTAAGGTCAATAACTGGCACTTAACTGTAAGCTATATGCTAAAAACAGCCTTCGCCATAACTTTTGAACCATAAGAGATTGAGAATTCACATTTAAAATGCATGTTGTACTTTACTAGTTAATTTTTTTCAAATGACACCAAGGTTCAACAACACATCTTGTTCCACTTTGATGAACGGTGTTGCCATGATTTTTAAAATAGCATTTACTCTTAAGTTCTTATAAAAGGCTGACATAATTCTATTCACTGATGTTGAATAGTTTTAAGTCCAAAAGCTTCTTTTTCCCTTCTATGTTTTAAGTACAAACCAGAAGAGCCCAATTAAATTCAGTTTCAATGAAATTAAGACTTTTTGTTTCATTTCTTGGAAACTTGGAATTTTTTTTAGTATAAACTATGTACATTTATATATTGATACGTCTAAAAGAGCACTGGTTCCTGCATGAACATTTGTAAGATTGACAAAATCAGTTACATTAGTCTATCACAGGTCACAAATTGCGATTATGAAGTTAAAAGTTAAAAGTAAAAACATGCAACGTCTAGAAAGTGTATGCAACACCTTAAAAAATGATGTAATAAAAAGAAACTATTTTCTGTTTTGTAATACAAGACATGTAAAAGTAATTCATTTTTTATGTGTAAAAGGTGAGAGAGATGACAGCCATTACATTGAGTGAATTAGTACACTGGATTTCTAGACATGGAAAAAGACTTGCTAGTACTAGTATGTAAATATCAAAGATTTGCATATCATTGCATTGAATTGTTCAGTATCCATGTAACTACATTTTAATGATTAATATAGAGATATTTTTGGGATCAGGTGCCATGGAGGAGTAAGCATTCCCCGTGTATTGACAATTTGTTGAAAAAACCTAGTAAAATCCAGAAAAAAATTCAAAGAGGTTAAAACAAGTTTTCAGACAGAAAGTATTTTAGTGAAGTGGGCAAACAAACAATCTTAGAAGGAAGGCCAACGTTTAGGCTAAATTCTGTTGTTTGTTGTTTAATGTCCTTCTTGAGAATTTTTCATATGTGTGGAGAGTCCAACAACTGCCAGTGGGGGATGCAAATTTAAACCTAAGTACTCGGCACTTTGAGCTTTTGAGCAGTGAGGGATCCTTTTCGTGCCAACAATGGGACCTCAGTTTTTAATACAATGTAGTAACTTTAAAGTCATGTTTGAAAATTCTGAGATATAAAATAACAAAATAAATATAAATTTAGAGTATAAATGTATTTATTTTGTATTTTTAATGGACTTTTGAGCTTGAATACTGTTCCTTCTCTACTGCATATATTTCATTACATACACATTCTTCTTTTTCTTTTTTTAAACACAATTTCATGTTATCAGTGTTAAATTCAGATTTGCACAAACATGGACCCCCATACTACATGTAGAGAAATCTCTGATGAGACTGTAGTTCTACTTATTTGGAGGAGAAAAGAAACACTTGGACTTGAAAATATGCAACAGCAATCAATAGAATAAAGTTTAATAGGTTTAGTTCCTTTTCAGACTGAAACTATTGGGGTGGGGTGGGGGCAGCCTTTTGCAAAACTTTTACAGAATTCGAAGACGTACGGTTTGAGCTTAATTGTGCCCTAAAAATTAAATGTTCTTAAAAAGTTATGAAATTGGCTTTAACAATAGTTGAGTAGATAGATATGATAAATCATTAAAGAATATGACATGCAGAAGAGCCCTTGTTGAAATATAACGTCATTAATTTGGTACATTTGTAAGTTTAATGCCAAAAAAGCTTCAAAATGACTTGTTTTTATGCCAATTTTCCTTTAGAAAATAGTGTCTGCCACCGTCAACTGTTTTAGTTTTTGGATATATTATGCAAACAGCTATAAAAAAATCACATACCTCAAAATCTTTCCGGGCGACGGTGGCAGAGTATGTTTTTTTTTTTTTAAATCCACTGAAAATTGATGTCTTCTGCAACTTTTTAAGAAAATACGGGAAAATGCACAAGTTAATGACGTCACAATTATCATTTAAGAGGTCATGTGAGAAAAACCATTTGTGTATTCTTACTGCAGAGAATTCCGATGATTTAGAAAATATGAATTTTAATTTCTTATATCACTTTCATATTTTAGAAAAATATATGGCTTAATTTGTATTGAAACTGAACCTTCTTCTTTCTATTTTAAAAACTGTAGTAACACCATTCATCAAATTAAGAACCGTTAACGGTAGCCTAGTGGTAGAGCATTCGCTTCGTGATCGGGAGGTACGGGTTCGATTCTCATTCGCGGCGCCGCGTCAAACCTAAGAAGTAAAAATTGGTAGTGACTGTTCCTTCGCAAAGTGCTCAGCATCAGAAGTGAAAGTCATGGGTCTGTCGGATATGACCTTGAATACGTAGGTCCCGTGTTACGGTAGGTGCTGGCACGATAAAGAACCCTCAATGCTCAATGGCCCTGAGTACCGAGTATAGGTCTAAATTTGAAGCCCTTCACCGGCATACGGTAACGTCTCCATATGAGAAATATTCTCGAGAGGGACGTTAAACAATATACAATCAATCAATAAAAGTAAGAAAACATAAAGAAATAAATCCCAGTGAATTCTACTTGTGTGACATGTTTTATAGAAATAAGACCGAAACTGAGAAGAAAAACATTTCTCACATATTTCAATTTAAAAAACCCTTGGCAACACAATTAATGTAACCAAAATAAAAAACAAAAACAACATAATATATGCATCTTAATGTAGTCTACTTATGTGCCAAATTATACTAAAATCAAGCCAACCCCGTAGGGATTGTTTACACACAGACATACAAACAAACAGACAGATGGAGGGATAACAGTCACCATGCTATCGCATGAACGCTTCTGGTCAATTATAGCAGTAGAGCTAAAAATGAAATAAATTTTATAAAATAAATGAAATAATTACATTTGGAATTTGGAAGAGCCCTTGTTTACAGTTTTTAAATCTCCTTCCAGACCAGGAAGTATAAATACCTGACAGGTAGAATAAAGGCGTGTCACGTAATCGGAATACATAAAGACTGCACTTGATCAAGGATAACCGCCATTACTCAAGTCAGGTAAGAAACTTGTAAGTTTTTCTGAGCAAATGAAAATAATTCTGAAAGCTTTTGGAATTCAGTACTACAGTTCTTAACTACCGCTAAAGGAAAAAATATTTGCTTCCCTCAAAAATTCAATGAACCATTAAATGTGATATGATGACTTTTTAACCACATTTATATCTACACAATGGCCTCAGACAAACTGTGGTTCCAGGAATCAGAAATATAAAAAAAACTATGCTTGCTGTGTTGAAATATAAGTGATATTTGGGTTAGGGTAAGAAAACGATATAGAGCGTGACGCTTGCCGAGCCCTCCCTTATGTTTTTGACCAGAGCCAAATACAAATTATTATTTATACTACAAGAGTAGCCATGTATTTTGTTTATCCTGTAACATAGTTTTACATATGACCTCTTAAACAATCTATTTTCAATGCAAGTTAAGCATATCCCTGGAGTTAAAACTAAGACACCCGAACATATATATATTATATATATATATATATATATATATATATATATATATATATATATATATATATATATATATATATATATATATATATATATATATATATATATATACATATGCAATATTTATGAAATCAAAATGCTTTCAGAACGATGGAATATATGAATTAGACATGGGATATTTGCAGGATAAAACATAGGTAATCAGAGGTTACAGAACTCACCTCAACTAATGTTTGTCTTTAGATAAGGCAAAATCCCACATTAAAGTAATAATCTAGAAGTGCGCTTCCCAAAACCACTCATCTTGAAAATCAAGATGCAAGCCTGATAGTGTGCATCATTAGATGTATTATCCATGCAAGTGTGGTCCACATAGTTACTTTAGAATGAACCTGATCAAAAAACCTGTTTACTCATCGGAAAAATGTAGGTGGTATCACTCATGCAAGTAATGGCCAATATAAGGCCTATATTTACTCCGAAATAAGATCTGCATCAAAAACTTTAACCTGTTTACTCATGGGGGAAATATAGGTCAGATCCAGCATCTGAAGCAAGCCTGGAAGCCTGGTTGTATGCATCCTTAGATGTATCACCCATGCAATTTTAGTTAAGATAGGTCTTATACAGTTGTAGTTACTTGGAAATAAGACCTGCACCAAAAACTTGAACCTGCTTGAAAACATTAACCTTAGCTGAAATTACAACATCTGAAACCTTGATTGGTACAATAAGAATCATCGTGCATGCATATCACACTAGAAGCATCTTGCTCGCATAATATCTGATCAATGTAGGGCAAAAAAGTACTCGAAGAAAACGTAAACCTGGGACGCCAACACCGACGCAGAGGGTATATCACACAAGCACCCTGCAATTTCGTTGTGATCTGATCGTGATCTAAAATGTACGTATAGTTCCTGATATAATACTCTCTTAGTTAATAAACGCTTGGCATACCATGCTGTGAAAAAGGGATTGTTTTCGTCACGTGATCTCTAATTTGAACAGATACGTACAGATTGTATCATTAACAGAATAAATAACGTATCTAAATCATAAAAGCTTTTAAAGAATTATAAACAAAAAGGGATTAATTTTTCATTTTTTATTTTAGTGCAAATCTACATCTTTAATATAGATTCTTTATCATATTTTGCACATATCTTGAGATATTGGTTGACACCATATCTATAAGTTCAAAGAACAGAATGTGATTGTTATTTACTTGCATTTTTTCATTCCCGAGAGTAAAGAGTCAAAATATGTCCGGAACGCAGATATCAATATTAACAAAAATAGAAACCAATTCCTGATTGGTCGATCAATGTAGATCTACTCCAATCGCAATAGGGGAGATAAAATCCCAACTATTTCTAACACCGTAATGTCAAGAATTTATGAGGAGAGTAGCGTATCAGAAACCCTTGGCTAAATGTATAATCCTAATAAATTGAATTTTTATAATTCAGCCACTAAGTCTAATGATGGACCCCCGTACTAGTGCCCACGACGTGAAGCGATGTGATCTGTGTGAGACCGCTGAGTTACAGATGCACTGTGATACATGCCTTGTCAACCTGTGTACAGCTTGTGTAGGAAAACACATGATATCTGACCAATCCAAGGATCACAAATTTAAAGTGGTTAAAGTTCAGTCCAGGAAATCCACTCCCCTCTACCCTGTATGTACATCTCATAACAAAGAACGATGTGAAATGTACTGTAGAAAATGTGACATTCCTGTCTGCAGCAGCTGTCTTGAATCTAATCAACATTTAGGTCATAAATTATCTAAAATCTTAAGAGAAGTGGATGAAAAGAAGAATATGATTATAAAAGAAAAAAATGTATTAAATGATACAATTTATCCAACCTACAAAGATATTGCTTCTGATATAGAAAACACAATTATTCAGTTAGAAAAAAAATATGGAGATCTCTCAACAGCCATAACAAAACATGGAGAGGACTGGCACAGAGAAATTGACAAACTTGTCATGAAACTTAAAGCTGAAATTGATGAGATGAAAAACACACAGTTACGCACTCTACAGAAACATCTGGATAAAATAAACAAGAACCTTTCTGACATCAAGGAAGAGATTAATTCAATGAAAACTGCAGTAGACACACATGATGTGTTAAAACTATTTAGTGTCATGTCTAATGTACCCATATACAGAAATCTTCCACATAAAATTATGCCATCTTTACCAAAATTCATTCCAGGAAAAATCCAAGGGGAAGAAACTCGTAAACTATTTGGAGCCTTATCATCAAGTTCTTTGACATCAGATAAACATGGCTACAGCATGAAGACAACGCAGAAATCACGAAAAGCTGAAACCTCTCCTCCAGTCAAACAGCTGCTTGATTAACAAGAGACTGTCACCACCATAGACACTGGGTATGAGTATGGACTTTACGATGTGGCCTGTCTGAGTGATGAGGAAATCTGGACAAGTAGATGACAGAACCATGAAACTCTACAGCATCAATCAGGGATCACTACTCAAGTCAATCACAACCAAGTCAGGGAACTACTCAAATGGCAGTGACAAAAAGTGGAGATCTTGTTTATACTGATAATGATAGAACTGGGAACATTGTGAAGAATGAGAAGATTGAGGAGGTGATCAGACTACAGAAGTGGAAACCTAAGGGTGTCTGTAGTACCTCCTCTGGTGACCTCCTTGTTATTTATCATGTACAGTGATGATTACAGACAAACAAAAGTTGTCCATTACTCTGGTTCCACAGGAAAACAAACCATTCAGTTTGATGATAAAGGTATACCTTTCTATTTACTTAGTTCTCTCTATCAAAGATACATAACTGAGAACAAGAAACATGATATATGTGTGTCTGATGAGAAAGCTAATGCAGTAGTGGTGGTCAATCAGGCGGGGAAACTGAGATTCAGGTACACTGGACATACTCCTGCTCCAAAGAACAAAGTATTCAGTCCACGAGGAATCACCACAGACAGTCAGGGTAACATCCTTACAGCTGATCGTAACAACTACGTGTGTCCACAATTACTTGTGTCCACATTATACATGTAGACAGTTCCTACCGTGTTCAAGTGCACCAGAAAGCAGTCTTTCCCCTCCCATAGAGCATATTTACGCTGTTTACAATTCAAATATTCTTATTTTATCCAAGCTTTAATAAGATATGTGCTAGTTTAAATTCTGAATTTATTTTTAAAATTTCATTGATATACTGTCAACCAACTTTTATTCGCGACGAATTTATTTTGCGATTTATTAGGGTAAACTGGTTTTTGACGATTTATTTTTGCGATCAAGCCTTTCTTTGAAACTGTTTTTAATAGACCAGAGACTTTATTGACCAGTTCACGGCGAGAAATATTCCCGACAAAATAGCTCTTGCGAACCTCGCAAAAATTTCTCGAAAACGAATAAAAGTTGGTTTACGGTATTTTTAAGAAGCAGATCTGCCTCTCTGGATATACATGCAAATTCACAAAGATATTTTATTTATCAATTTAATTATAGTTTTATAACAAAGAATCATGACTGTAAATATGCTACTGTAACAATATCATTTTCATTTGCTATATATTAAAAATGAAGTTTGACAGGTGGAAATGTTGACGAAAATAGATAAATCGTCAATATAGTCAAATAATAATGTTGTTGTTTACAGTTAATCAAGGCTTGCAGCTTCTTCATCGAATTGAATACAAACTGCCCTGATCCCCATGCAAACTGTTAATTCCATTTTGCACAAAGAACAATCCACCCCCCCCCCCCCCACACACACACACCCTGACAAGCATATAACTTTACTCCCTTCAGCTCGATTACAAATATTTACAATGTAAGAATTGTTTTTTTTTTGCATATAAGATGCTTTAGGGTTAAAAAGAACATGGCTTACATGGGACATTTTTTTGGCTTTGTGAACTTCCGCTCAGTTTTAGTTGAAATTGCAATGAATTACACTCTTGGTGAGTGCATATTTGTTAAGAATTACGTAAATTTCCTGAATTTTCCTCTGAAGTTTTCTATTTAGCAAAAACAACAACCGACAATCCAAATTGTTCAATTATGTAATGGAAGAACTGTTTCATAAGAAAAATCCATGTTTTTTTTTTGTTGGAATCGCGGGGTGGGCACTGTGTGCATATATTTTCTTTGTGGAAGATTTTCTTTGTGGAAGGTACTCTAAACATGCATTTTCATCAAATTTCAAGAACACTGCAATTTTCACAAAACCTGTTTTTCTATACCTCGACTCACAAAGGAAACTTTTTTATATTGGAAATGCAAGTACTTATTTCAATAATTTATACTTAATTAGTCTCTTCTTTATTTTTATGTTTAAAATGCGATATTTGGACTTTGTCAGTTAATTGGGATATAAGTAGGGATGGCAATCGATTGCTGCAAAATTGCTAATCAGTTAACCGCAAAACGTTCCGACCGATTAACCGGTTAGTCGTATCAAGATATACATATTGACATTTAATTTCATATACACAAAAAAGCTAAAAAGACGTTATCTAGAAGTTGCATTCTAATTATTATTTTGATCAAGGAATTTTATGTACATAAGAGTATATTTTGTTTCAATTTCATTAGACAAGAAAAAAATTAAGAAAACCATAAATCTTGCTTGAGTAATCAGACAGGGATAATTATTCAACGCAGAGGTAATAAAAGTTAATTCTGCGTTGTCACCATATAGAAAAAAAACTCCTACATAAACAAATACATGGGCGCAGACATTTTGGACACCCAAAGCTGTGCGGAGGAGAAAAATGTTACCTGGCGCGTGATTGGTCAATAAGAGAAAAGATTTGTTATGTATTTGACAAGTGAAATAAACTTGATAAAAATCTCATATCAAGACTTAGGCTTCTTTGAGATATATAAGAGTTACAGGTAAAAATTTGAAGGGGTGGATGCACTTTGGTTAGAGATTTTCATTTGTTGGTGAAAGCACCTAGTTGTAAACAAGTGGAATCTGAAAGTAAAAGTGCAGCGCAACGGTACATTTATATATACCCCCGCTTGAAAAGTGGGAGGGTATACTGTAATCTGTATGTCCGTCCGTCCGGTGTCGCATAATATTTGGTCCGCCACGTTTAAAGGTCCGGCCGGACCTAATACGATAACATATTTGGTCCGCATTTTATAAGAAAAGGTCCGGCCTGTATAAGAAAAGGTCCCCCTACGTTTTAAGGTCCGGGTGGTGCATAATATTTTGATCTTGACTTTAACATATGAAATTAATAAAGAAAGTTAGTTTATACTATACGATAAGAAGGATTTACCCTGTTGTGTTTTATGTTTTGTACAACATACATGTATCTCTATACAATAATCTACTCGTTTAGTGTGCTTTAAGCAGTGAAGTTTAGGACCATGATTTCTTAAAAAATAATGCCACAACTATTATGTTAGAGTTTGTTTTACCTTTTTGCTTTGTGTAAATTAGTATACGATTAAAGGTGTGAAATCTGTCGGTGTGTATAGCTAATAAAACAATGGGGTGTGACGTATTTGTTTACCTGACAGGTACCCACAGGTAGAGCCCGCGGCAGATGGCGATGTCATTGAATGGTCGGTGAACCTTATGGTCATGTGTTAGCTTTAATATCAATAGATTTAAATTTCTTTAATTAATAATTTATGCTAAGAAACAAAATATCCATGCGTACACTTCAAAACTGCGACATTTATAATAATTATAATCATATAGTCTTTATTTGAATATTTAAAGCTAAATATGGCGTATCTGAGCTAAAAATTGAAAATACTAGATTAAGCGTACATCTACACGTGAAAATGATATTTATATTCAAATTAGAATTTTTACCAATATTGAACATAAATATACCCACTTTTCTATTAATTAACTTCAAACTAATTGGATTTAAACTGTGTCTGATATTTACATTCCGAGTCGATAAGAATCGGTCATTGTTTTAAATCTCTGATTTCTATATATACAAAGACGCAATTAATTTAAATTTCGGTAATAGAACATTTTAAAGAATAAATTATAGACTGTTTAGTAAATCAAATGTCTTGGACATAAGTTCGGCGCAGTATTTGGAATTTAATTTAGCGAACATTAAATGTGATGAAAGAATTACCTGCTCATTATTTAGTGTGTTAACTAGACTTGGTGCTTCATGTACAGATGTATCATACAGAATTTTTTTTATAAAAATGTGTTGATTAATAATTTTTTCAAAATTCCATTTCTACGTACATGTACCCGGTAAACATTAAATTGCCGGAGAGGTAACTATCAAAAATTCCTGAAATGAAAAGAAATAAATAAAATGTCGGGAAAAAAGAGTAATTGTCGGAAATAAAATAAAGAAAATGAAATGCAGCGGTCCTATCTTTATATAAAAGAAAGATCTTTTTTATATTGTTAGTCTGCACTCATAAAAAAAACGCCTTATATGACTTTTAAAGAAACTTATCCTAAGTGTGGAGTTTAGTACTAATAAGATCGATGAAGAGTAAATGTAATTCTCTGCTTTCCTGTAGTCTTCACAATTACCTTTTGTTTTCTGTTAATAATCATGTTTTGGTCCTGTATTTGTGGATATTGTAAAAAATAACCTAACATTTAACCTTTTTTTAAACGGGCCCCAGAATTACAGTTTATTGGCTTGGATCTAATTTATTCTTATACAAATACATGTATCCCTCATCCTCACCATATCGAAAAGCATATATGTTTTTTTGCAGAAAGAAAAATAGAAATTATTTAATTTTTTTATTATGACTGTTGCAGAATGCGGGATAATCTTGTGTTGCAAGAGCGACTAAATTTTGAAATCTTGTCAGTAACCGTAACTGTAAATTATTTTCTATTATAACTGAAAATTATTTTCTGTTATAACCGACGTGAAGCTTTTTGTGAAAAGTTGTATATAATTATTTATCTCATGCCTGTATGGAAAGAATAAGCCTGAGGGAAAATGATTTTATAAGTTCTCGTCAATATACTCAAAAATAGAAAAAAAAAATAACGCACACATGTCCTTACAGTGAAATCCAGCATTGCATCACTTGACCCTCTTCATATGTTGTGTATCAAGTATTTTAAAATTTTGAATCTCTGCAAACCCACCTCACCACAACCTCACCCCACCCCGCAACAGTACCCAGAAATGGTCATAACCGTAAACGCATTTGATAGGCATTTCGCCTACACTACTAGTAATTATTTTAATTACATCGCTTCTATATTTTGTAATACAATCTTAGTTTATACATGCATAAAACCAAATCACACAATAATGATATGCCAATGTTAATAGTTCCCTCAAAAGATCAATATAAAAATTACCCAGTTTGTATGAAATCCCCCCCCCCCACCGGTATATAAGAAATATTCAGGTATCCACCTAACGATGACGTATTGTTGTAAAAGACCATTGATCCTTAACCAGAAAACAACTTATGAGTAATTTTATTTAAATATGACCGCTCTTCATTCTATTTAGATAATTTTGGCTAGAGGTGGTCTTTCATCATTGCAAAGAAAATTATATTAAAGGGTTTATTTTCGTATAGCAATAAAGAATCAGAGAAAGGGACATAAAGGGCCTTAAACCGCGGCATAATATACTGAGTATAAGGTATTTCAAGTGTCTGTATGTCATAAAGGAAACATTTTCTAGAGAAATGGACAGGGCGGACCTTTTTGCGCAGTTATCAGAAAAGGTCCGAAAACTGTATTTCAGATATCTTCATGTCATAAAGGAAAATTTTTCTGTTTTCGTAGTTTAAAAACTAGAGAAAGGGAAAGGGCGGACCTTAAAACGCAGTTATCAAAAAAGGTTCGCCCTCTGTTTTCCAGATATCTTTATGATTCAGAGGGAAATTTTGGACAGGGTTTTATTTTCGTAGCTTAAAAGACTAGAAAAAGGACAGGGCGGACCTCAAAACGCAGTTATCAGAAACTGTCCGCCCTCTGTATTTCATATATCTTCATGTCATAAAGAGA